AAGGAATGGCTTCGTCAGCCTCAGAAGGGAGCTGGGCATAGCACTACAGTATCCACTGTGTCTTGTTTTTATTACAAAGTTAACTGTAATAAAAGATTTTAACTGAAAGGCCAACACTGATGGATTGGTCATGCCAGGAGCACTGTGCTGAAAGGGTTCTAGACTCATCTGGGCTCAGCAGAGGAGTGTGGGGATGGATCAGTGATTTCTGTAGGAGGGTGGGGTTGCTGCCACATTCCTTCTTGGCTTTAATGGTGGTGGAGGGTGACTACATCACACAGTGTGTGCCTTGGACCACCCTGGTTTATGCCTGTGCTTCAGGGTAATTGTTAATAAGTAATGTTACTTTTATCTACAAAATATCCTCCCACAAAAGATTCAATTTTGTGGTCATCCTAAGGAAGAAGTTCTCAATCTTACTAGCCCTGCCTCTCTTTTCTGAAAAGTGCTGTTTTCTTTCTGGAACAGGTTTGGGACAAGTTGCCTGGTATCTTCACTGTATTTAGGATGTCAAAGAAGTTCCTCTTTGGCAGAGAAGGTTTTGTTTAGCAAGTTCTGTTCCTACTTAGCAACGCAAAACTCTCCTGTGGCATCAAAGCAAACATCCTTGACAGCCTTTCTAGAATGGACAAGGAATTGTGAGGCAAATTTCAGGGAGAATAAAACAGATTATAACCATAGAAAATTATTTTGCCACATGTTAAAGCAGGACTTTGCAGATAGAGGCACTGACTGGCCTAATTGAAAACATGTTGACCCTGAAATTAAAATCAGAGGCTCTTATTTTGAATGGGAACTTAGAGATAATTTCCCCATTTTATAGATGACAGACAAGCCAAGGTTACAGTCTAGGTTCTTGTAGAGCAGGGATCAGAGTCCTGGTTCCTTACACCTATGAGTGTAGTTTACCTTCCCCTGGACCAAGAAGAAATTAGCAGAGTCTTGAGCATTGAAAATAATATGAAGGCAACAATTTGGCCTTCAATAAAAGAGAAGGATTGCCCTCAGATCTGGGATGCCTTGGTAGTGGAACTGGCAAAAAAAATTGTTATATGCAAGGGCATGGGCATTATTTTGCCTGTGAATGGAGCATGGCATCAGGGTGGGGGCCAGAGTCTTTTCTGGTGCCAGGAAAGTGACAAATGCTAAAAACTGCCACCAGGGATAAGGCAGTGTGCCACGTGCCATGGAACATGATTCTGCCCATTTTTATGAGACCAAGTCTAAACTCATGTGCATAACATTCCAGACACCCAGTCCAATCTTATCTTCCTCCACTTCCTGTCACACACTCTGCATATCAGCCACATAGTACTATTCAAATTATCCTGACACCCTTCTGTAGCTTTATACCTCCATGTCCTGGCTCATAAGGACTCTCTAGAATTCCCTCCCCAGCCCCGCCTTTTATTTAACCTATCAGAAATGCTTCTTATCCTTTATGGCCCAACTCAATGGCACCTCCTGTATAAAGTCTTCTCCAAACTCCCCATACATAACAAATTATTCTTTTTTGTGTGTTCCAGTGACAACTGGTTTGTGCCTCTATTAAAACACTTTCCTAGACTTACAGTCAAGATGGAGGTGTAGGTAGACACACTTAGGTTCCTTGTGCCACCAGGAAGAATTAGAACTAACCTCAAAACAAATTACACCCAGAACTGCCAAAAAATTGAACTGTATGGATGTCCAACAACCAAGGAGTTAAAGAAGCCACATTCATCCAGAAGGGTAGGAGGGGCAGAGATGTGAAGTCAGGAGGGAGAGGAGAGGAGATATGATGTGGCATGGAGAGGAGGCAGTGGCAAAATGGGCAGCACCACATTCTCATGTGGTAGATAAAAGTTGGGAGGGATACCTTGGGGGTGAGCATTCTCAGCCCCAAGCCAGAGTGGCACAGCCCAGGGTTCCAGCACCATGAAGATAAATTCCTATAACTTCTGGCTGTAAAAACCATCCAGAGATTGTGATGGTGGAAGAAACTGCCAGATTTTCAGGAGACTCTGTACAAAGGGCCTGTAAGGACTTAAAATATATACAGACCCCCCACTCTGCCACCTCTGGGTTTCAGCACCAGAGCAACAGCTGGAAGGGTGCCAGTTCCACAGGGAAAGTGCTGGGCAAACCTCCAGAAGCCAGGCAGTGGCACTGTCCCCTCTCTAAGCCCTCCCCTGCTCCACAGAGCCACAAAGCAGTGAAGTGAGTTGCCCCACCTTGGGCAATACCTAAACTTATACTCTGTGTAACTTAATAGGAGTACTAAGATAGGGAATCAAAGCAGCTCTACTTAATACACAAAAACAGACACAGGGAGACTGCCAAATTGAGGAAACAAAGAAATATGGTCCAAATGAAAGAGCACAACAAAACCCCAGAAAAAGAACTACACAAAATGGAGACAGCCAACCTATCAGATGCACAGTTCTAAACACTGGTGATCAGTGTGCTCAGAGAACTCACTGAGTACAGCAACAACATAAAGGAAGAAATGAAGGTTACACTAAGTGAAATAAAAACAAATCCACGGGGAACCAACAGTGAAGGGAAGGAAGCTGGGACTCAAATGAATGGCTTGGAAAATAAGAAAGAAATAAACATTTATCCAGAACAGAAAGAAGAATTCAAAGAAACAAGGCTAGTATAAGAAGAATCTGGGTCATCTCTGAAAGTTCCAACATCTGAATCATAGGGATGCTAGAAGGAGAAGAGGAAGAGCAAAAAATTGAAAACTTAATTGAAAAATAATGAAAGAAAACTTTCCTAATTTGGCAAAGGAAATAGACATACAAGTCCAGGAAGCACAGAAAGTCTCAAACAAGTTGGACCCAAAGAGGACCACACCAAGACGTATCATAATTAAAATGCCAAAGGTTAAAGATAAAGAGAGAATCTTAAAAGCAGTAAGAGAAAAAAAGAGAGTACTCATAAAAGAGTTCCCATCAGGCTATCATCTGATTTCTCAAAAGAGACCTTATAGGCTAGAAGGGACTGACAAGAAATATTCCAAGTGATGAAAAGCAAGGACCTACAACCTAGATTACTCTATCCAGCAAAGCTATCATTTAGAATGGAAGGGCAGATCAAGTGCTTCTCAGACAAGGTGAAGTTAAAGGAGTTCACCATCTCCAAGCCCTTATTAAATGAAATGTTAAAGGAACTTATCTAAGAAAGAGAAGAAGACCAAAACCATGAACAGTAAAATGACAACAAACTCACAACTATCAGTAACTGAACCTGAAAAACAAAAACAAACAGACTAAGCTAACAACTAGAACAGGAACAGAATCACAGAAATGGAGATCACATGGAGGGTTATGAATGGGGAGGAGGTGAAGGGGAAGAATGAGGGGAAAGGTACAGGGATTAAGAAGCATAATAGGTATGTACAAAATTGACAGGGTGACATTAAGAATAGTATAGGAAGTGGAGAAGCCAAAGAATTTATATGCATGAACCATGGACATGAACTAAGGAGGGTAATGCTGGAGAGAAGGGGGTACCAGGCACAGGGGGAGCAAAAAGGGAAAAATTACAATAAGTATAATAGCCTAATCAATAAAATATACTTAAAAAACACTGTTCTGAGGAAGCACATCTATATCATTCCTCTATGCCTAGAGCATGGTGTTCACAGGATATAGCAGGTGCTCAGTAAATGAGTAAATAAATGTCATGACTGTTGGGCTCAAATAGATCATTAGGAACATGTCTACCTTCTTAGGACCAGGACTTAACTATGTATGTATCCTTGGTGCTTAGGATGGTGCCTAACACATAGTAGGCCCCAATAGATATGTACTATGTCTGTCATGACAATGATAGACAAGAACTAGCTGATTCAAAGCAGACTGGGCATAGGATTTAGACTTGAAGCTAAGTACTGTCGGCATCAGCTGTTTGACCTTCAGCAACCTAAGCTTTGTGAGTTTAGGTGTCTTCAGTAAAAATGGGGATGATATTAACTACCTGAAAGGGTTATTGTGAGGATTAAGTGAATAATATGTGAAAGTGCCCAATTCAGCTTCAAATAGAAGGTGAGAACTCAGTAAATGCTTGTTGAGTGGGTGGACAGTTGAATGAAGAAGTGCCATAAAAAAGTTAAAGTGTCAGGGACGCACGAGGGATGAGACGTGACAGCCTGGGCTGGTGAGCTTTGGGAGGGCTTTGAGAGACGGAGCTACTTCATGTGGAATTGAAAGCAGAACAGTATCCTCAGAGAGTACAGTGGAATTACAGATACTCTGATTCTACCTTACAGAAATGGAATCCGTTTCCTTCTGCCCCAAATTCTATGCCCAACAAAAGTCAGTTTAATAATAACGAGGAAAGACCCAGTATAATATAGTAAAATTAACCTTAGCCATGGGAGTCTAAATTCAGATTCTCTTTTCATTAAAGTGTTTTTGATGAGTTGAGTCAGGGGGTAGTAAAAGATAGGTGTGGTATTGTAAGATTGGAAAGCTCACTCTTAACTCATTTCCTCCTTGATGTGGCCAGGAAGTGCTTTCCTGAAAGAAGAGGCAGCTTTAATGCAATTATGCGATTGTTAGCCCCCCCCAGCTTGGCCATGTGCTGGGCAACTCCAGCTGGCCTCACACAGGAGAAAGCAAACTTCAGCTGCCCCTCCGGCCATCGTTTCAGCACTCTGCAGAGAAGTGTCCCAGCAGCCGAGTGAGCTGCTTAGCTGTTTAATTGAATGAATTCAACCTCATATAATAGGATCTAGGACTTTAAGCATTTCTGTCTGCCACACCGGATATTGGGCTGAGAACTGCTCAAGTCACCCTTCCCTCCTGAAGCCCTGGGTCTCTCTGGTGTCCACGCTGTGTTCTGATGGAATTGTTCTCCAGCGAGTCAACTTAAGTCTAGTGTTTCTAAGATGTGTCAGATACCAGGTGTTTGAATGAAGTTTGAACAAAAAAGATTCCACCTGGAGGGTCTTATGTAATTTTTCCCATTTTTAGGAAAAGGAAGGGGTGCAATCACTACTTGGAAATTACCTTTCAGCTTCCCCCTGGACCCATCTGCTCGGGCTTGCAGCAGACTGACCACATGCCTAAGCCGGGCCTGATGGAAGTATAACAAGAAGAGAAAATAATTGAAAGGCAGGTTCACCTTCTTCAGCCTTGCTCTCTGCCAGTCCATGCTTTGCACTAACACTAGAGCAGGATTCCTGTCTTTTTGTGTTTTATCTATAATGCACAAATACAGACATGACAGATGTTAAGGGTAGAGTTCCTTGAGTCCTGACAAACGCATACACCCATGTAACCAACATGTGCCCCCTTCCAACGATCCTTTCCTCCACAGGAAAGCACTATTCTGATTTCAGGCACCATAAATTTGTTTACCTGTTCCAGGATATAGTACCAACGGAATTATAAAGTATGTGCTCCATTAAGTCTGGCTTATTTGGCTCAACGTAATGTTCATGAGGTTCATCCATTTTGTTGCTTGGTAGTACCTTTTACATGACCAAATGTATTCCATCCCATAACATCACAGAGCAATATTTCTAGAATAAAGAACTGACCATTTTCTGTGCCTAAAATCCCTCATAATTCACCATTGCTTGTATAATAATGCCAAAATTTTGATATGCCATTCAGTACCTTCTCCTCTGGCTATGGCCTCATCTTCAGCCTTTCCCATCAACACGAAGCATATTTCACATGAATATCTCACTGTTCTGCTAATACATTCCATCTCCTCCTTCTCTGCATTCCTACCTGGTTGTGCCCTCTCCTGAAATGTTAGTTGCCCCTTTTCCTTCATGGTAGGTTCCTCTCCTGCCTGCAAGCCTGTGTGAAGCCTTCTCTCACTTCCTAGCCAGTTATTCCTCAGTCCTCTGTGCTGTCACAGCCTCTATACTTCCCTTAGTTACAAACTGGATGTTGAGGGCCTTGAGAATGGCATAATGCCCAAACCCTTTGGGAAGTTATAGGATCAGAACAGTGTTGTGCTCTGTGAAGAGAGGAATTTAAGATAGCAAACTGATAGTTTTGCTCGTTTGCTTAACAACGCTGGTTGTCCAGCATAATGTAGAACAGTTTTAACAGCCCACATGAATCAGGGTCTGTCTCTACACTGTCTGAAACTTGCCTGGAAGGAAGCAGGCACGGGAGACCTGCTACCTCACTGCTGACTCCATCTCTCCGGAGATCTAGTGCTCACCTCTCGATTGCCTAGAAGGCTGTTTCTCAAACTTTTGACATCTGAGACCTCTTAATGAGAACTCAGCACACATGCATACCACCAATTTTTGTTGGAGATATAATTTGTGTACCATGAAAATCACCCTTTAAAGTGTGTGATTCAGTGTTTTTTAATATATTAACAAGGTTTTATAACCATCATCCCTCTCTAGTTCCAGAACATTTTTAACACCTAAAAAGAAGTGCCATACCATTAGCACAGATTACCGATTTAAGCAAATGAAATGCAATTTAAAAAATTAACCAGTTTATAGCGAGAGAACACATCTTTAAATAGTAACAGAAATATTTCATACCAAACTAATAAAATAGTGTGTGGTTTTTCGGATTGTACGCAGCTCTCCAGATCAGTATCAGACTGCTGCAGCTGCAGGTCACATGCTGTAACTGGGTGACTTTTCTCACCGCCCATTCATACTGTGTTACGTGTTCTACCTCACAGTTACAGGTGGCCGGGAAGGACAGCGGATGTTTGGTGGTTCTGTTAGACAGTTCTGGATATTTGAATCAAACAAGTTTTCTTATTCTTTGTATGACCACCAGCCATCCTTCCCACTTCTTCCCAAAAAATCAACACTGATCTGTTTAGGTTTGGGGCAGAGATCCCTCCATCTCAGTAAGTGCAGATACCTATCCAGCTCCAGGGGGTAGATTCTGATTGGTCTAAACAAATGATGGTGATATCCTTCCCCCTGGTTGCTAAGTAGTGGGAGGGTAAACATATAATACAATTTTGTCTATGAGATTTTTTTTTCTGAGGAGGAATTCTCTTTCTGTATAAAATCAAAGCATCCCGAGGAAAAGGCTCTTTGCCCTTTTGGAACAGGGGTGAGATGTCTGGAAGTGGATGTACCATCTTGCAACCATGAGGCATCCAGATAAAAATAACTAACATATCAAGGAAATGAAGCATAAAAATAGAGTCTGGGCACATGAACGTATGCCAGAAATTGCTCACGTTAGGATCTCTCTCTCTGTCCACCTGTCCATCTAGCCATGTAGGCGTATGTATGTATGTATGTATGTATGCATCTGTGTATGTAACCATCTACCTGGTTTTCTATGACCAATAGCCAATTATAAAGATTTCTAACTCTCATTCCATCAGATATTAATTTTACAAACATAACACATTTGAATATTGTAATTTGGGGGATGGCTGTGAATGCATTTCCAATTCTATTTTTGGCTGCATTTAGCTCTAGGAAGCATTTTTCAGTGCTCCACGGCAGTATGTTTATATGGTTTTGAAAAATTTTTCAATAATATGCCTTTAATTTCCTTTTTGAATATGTGGGAATCATCAACCTGAAAGGAAAAAAATTAAACTTTAGGTCACCAAGTTGCTTTCACCATAGTTCTATTCCTAGAAATTTTGTTATTTTATCCTCAACATAAACCAATCTTTTAAAAATATTTTATTTATTCATTTTGAGAGAGAAGGAAAGGGAGGGAGAGAGAGAGAAACATCAGCGTGTGAGAGAAACATGCCGCCCACCGGAGACCTGGCCCGCAACTCAGTCAGGCACGGGCCCTGAATGGGAATCAAACCGGCGATCTTTTGGTTTGTGATGATGCCCTCTCTACTGAGCCACATCAGTCAGGGCAACATAAAACAGTGTTAAACTTTCATCCCTAAAGTGATTAGTCCTGATTATTTAAGATACTGATTATGTTGCTAAGATGAGGCGCTTGAGAAATACCCTTGACATTGTTACAATGTCCTTATTAGCATTATAGTGTCATTATTCCTATTAGAAATAAAGTAATTGTGAAGAAAGTAAAAATGCTCCTATAGAATGACCTTTTAAATTTAGATTTTTTATTAAAGTAAATATGTGCACAGTTTAGAAAAAGGAAAATAGCGGTGTATTACAATTTTCTTCCTCATTATCTCTATTTCTGACTCTCACTTCAAACATGTAAAAACTACTTCTTATTTCTATTTTTACCTGCATGTTTGAAAATAATCTTACATGGCAGACACAGAGGATGCAGTGTTCTGATTTCTCTTCAAGAAAGAGCTCTTCAGCCAGCTGCCACGAGTGTGGTGAGCTGGCAGCCTCCAGGTGTTACCTGGTTCAGGTTTCCTTCCTCCTCTAAGCTGAGGCCTCACTCTTCCTGAGATGATGCTGATACAGGGAGATCTGCCCAGACGGCCTCCTCAGGCCCAGAGTGAGAGAGGGGTCGCAGCAAACACCCAAAGCAGCAGGGGTGAAGCTGTGCTGCTAGCATGGGGCCTGAAGACAGATTTCCCTACCCCGGGGGCGGAGACAAGAAGGAGGAGGCCCTCACAGAGCGTGCCCAAGGCTAGTGAAAAGCCCTCCTGCTCCCTTCCAGAACATGGCAGCAGGGGGAGGTGCTGACCTGCCAGTCTAGCCTAGTAAAAGCATAGGGATTGGATGGGGAGCTGAACTCTTGCAGAGTGCATGGAATTTGGGGCTGGGAGATTTAAATGGAGGGGAAAAACACATTCTTATTAACCCCCTCGCTCGCTCTGTGAGGGACCAGAGCACTCAGGAGACATGGCACACCGTGGAAGCCAGTGGCTAGGCAGCGGGTGCCGGGTGAATGGATGGAGCTCTGAGGCCGGCTGTGGAGGTTGCCCAGGCCCCTGGTGTGTGGAGCTGGGGCTTGGCATGGCAGCCTGGGGAATGCGCAAGGACTTCAGAGAGCCTGAAGCTGGCCTGCAACCGGGAACAAGCTAAGCTGCCTGGGTGACCGGGCAGTGCCCGCCTGCAATTCCTCAAAGAAGGATCTTTTTAAGGTGGAAAAGGAACTTGGGGCACAGCCTCGGATTGGTCTGGCAGAGGGTGGCAATGTCTTTGTCTGGCTCTTCTAGAGGGGATGGGTGCTGAGACAGAAGTCTGCCATTCTTCCAAAATGATGTGGCTTTTGAATAAACAATTTCATCCCTTTTCCACCAAACCTCTGCCTTTGGTATTTGCGGATACAACAAAGAGGGTGATGGCAGGCCGCAGAACCCCACACTTCTGTTCAGTAGCAGCACCTTCTGTGCCTGGGCAAGGTGGTGCTGCAGAGGTCTAGCCATTGCTGCCTAGTCGTAGGATCCCTTATTGAGTCATCTTCGCTCTAGTGTCCCCTGTAGGCTTGTAGAGACTTTTGTCAGAGCTACAAATCTGAGGACTTCCCTGCTGGATTTGGCTTCCTCTGTCCTTTCACAAGTCTTAGATTTGCATTGTACTCTGAAAGCTTTCCTGGTCCACTTCCCCTGTCTCTCTCTTTTGTCTTTCATAAGTGCCAGCCCTCAAAACACCACTTGCCCTGAACACTCTGTTACTTACAGGGCACGTACACCTTTTCCTCCGTGGGGTGCTGCCTGCTTCCCTTTCCGAGTCCTCCCAGTGCAGTTATGGAGCACACTGTCCAGTGGTTCACTGAGGAGGTTTCTTGAGAGGCAATTTTTAAGATGTCACGTGTCTAAAAAATAATTAGTATGCCACCCTCAACTTTGATCCTTTGGTTTTGTATAGAATTCTAAGGAGAAATTTTTCTTTCAGGTTTTTAAGGACATTGCTCCATGTTTTTCCAAGTGTTATTAACGAGAGGGCTGATGTTATTCTGATTTTTTTTACATCATGACATTTATTTCCACCTGGAATCTTGTGTTTATTTGAATTCTGAAAATTCGAAATAATGTGCTTTTGTGTGAATCTTTTTTCCCCTTTGTTTGCCAAGAATGTATGCATCTTTCAAGCTGGAAATACTTCTAGACCCACTGAATTATAAAGAAAATAGAAAGAAAGAAGAGGCATCCAAGTAACAGGGCATGTATCATGGAAGAGAAGGAGATGATTCCCTGCAAAATGACCAAGAGAAGTGTCATAACGATAGTGTACAGTAGGCCTGTGACAATCGGTCCACATCGAAGCAGGAGAATGGAGCATCGCTGGAGAAGAAAGGATGACTCCAAGAAAAATGAATGCAAGTAACAGATTTCCTCATGTATTTGACCATGAACCCTTCGGTTCTACAATTAAAAAATAATAATTCTTTAATAGTATTTTCTCTACCCATCCAGGCGTTGCTCAGATAACTGACCCATAACACTGTGAGTTATTATGAAATAGCTGTTATTTTAAGCTACCGAGTTTAGGAGTAGTTTGTTATACAACTATAGGTGACCAGAATAACATTCAATAGGTCAGGATGGGAAATAAGACCTAGTGGTAGTAGAATCTGGTTTGCACGAGGAAAGGATGAGGAAAAAAAAAACCAAGAGATACATTTTTGGGGTGTGTACAATTTGTAAGGTAACATTTTTGATGAAATTGATACTTTATAAGTTGTGTAGTGAAACTGAGGAACTGAATTTGTTTTATTTGAGACTTCACACTCGTGAGTGACAGGAAACGAACTGTTAAGGGGAGAGAGTGAGGGAAAAAAACGATGCCTAATTATTTCTCCCTTTAAGCATGTGCATTCCTGACATCTCTGAGGACTAAGAGTGTCCTGTAAGGAATACGATTAAAGTTACAAAAAGGAAAACAAAATTAGTAAGTCAGCTTTTGATCCTGCTGCTATATTTACCCACAAGAAAGGAGGGCAGCTCTCAGGTGGGCTTTTGTTTAAGTAATGTCCTGAATTCCAAGTCTAAAAGAACAATGTGAAATCTCAATTCTCCCAAATGGTTTGGGGCCGGTTAGCCCTTGAGCCCCCTGGGGGGTTTGGTTCCCAAGGAGACTAATCCCCTTTGCTCAGCATTAGGTATCACTGAAGCCAAAGAGCTCTCTTTTGGAGGTTTGTGGAGAGGCCCTAGTGCAGCCTGAAGCAGGGTCCTTTTGCCTCATAGGAAGTGAAATGTATTGGTGTCAAAGCCTCTCAAGTGACTGTGCTCACTCCGGGTCCGGGAGGAGGGGCTCTGGGCCCTGCAGGAGCCGGCCACTGACTTTGTCAAACCTAATTTCATGCCAAATGGAGCCTGCCCAGAACGGAAAGATCAAGGAGAAAAGCAATTGAGAACATGAGCTGAGGTCTACATGTACAATGTAGTCAGCTATTGGAAACTTTAAGAATTTATTTTGGTCTTAGGTGTGAAGCTATTTCAAGCAGTGTTCTTTGTTTGCCTGATTGTTTGTAGTTTCCATAGACACCATTTTCTTGATAGGTCCATGCCCTTCTGCCCAGGCTATTCCCAGAGATGCTGCTTGTTTGCCGGCACCAAGTCTTGGCTCAAATGCAGCCTTCTCCAAGTTTTCTGGGCTGAATTGCTGGTCCTTTTACTCCATCAACTACTGTACCTTTAATTTAGTTCCATTGCAAAGTATCATATTGTATTACAGTGGCTTGTTTGCAGGTCTGTCTTTGCATTGGAAAGGGTAGGAATCATGGCTTCTTCTCTATTGGTGGTCCCAGCACCGTGCTGAGCCCATTGTTGGTGTCAACATCTTTCAGTTGAATGGATCAGGGACTGGATAGATATTTTATGATTAAGAATCAATTTTGTAAATCAAGCTACAGAACTTCTAAGTCAAGAAAAACTTATATTTGTACATGGAGCTTTATGACTGACAAAGAACTTCTACTTCTGCTATCTCAATGATTTTTTTCACAATAGCCTGATCAAATAGACTCAGGCTATGATTCCCATTTTATACATGAGAACATTGAGGTCCAGAGGATTAAGTGACTTTTCTTTAGTCAGTTGGATGACAAGAGGGTAGATTGCTCTTCAGTCTCAATCACTGGCTCTAATTTCATCATTCTCTCTATACTTTACACTGCTTTTTTCTAAGTGTCTACAATGGGCAGGTATAGTTGCTCTTTCGCATTTGAAAAGAGTCCCTCACTTTGTTAGGGGAAAGAACAATTGATGCTCATTTTATAGGTTAATGTGTTGGTGAGGGATTGGTATGTGCTCACCTATACCATTTCAGAACACTGTTGAGGAGCTGTGATCATCTTCATTGTACAGACAGAAAAAGTAAGACTCAGAGGTATTATTTGCCTGTCATGCCATGTAATTGTCACAAAACTCTGAGAACAGTTATGACCATTCCTATCATGCAGGCGAGGAAACAGAGTTTTCCGAGGATGAGCAGCCTCATGCAGGCACACTCACCCAGCAGGTGGCGTGCCTGAATTTGAGCCTCGCCTCACCTGCCTCCAACTCCGATGCTTAGAACACTACTGATCAGAAAACACAGAAACTTTTACATATGAGTCTTTTTATAGTTCATTGATTTTGAATATGATTATGTTAGAATTTCACTAATTCCCTGGGGATTGAGAGAGATATTTCAGACTTTCAGACTATAAAGATATGAATTCAATGTCTTGTCCCATGAAATCGGTAGCTAGGGATTTGTAAGAGCTGCTCCATTGAAAGAAGGTGAAGAAGAGTTAGTGCTCGTCGCTGCCAGACCCTGAGCCCTACGGAATGGTCTGGAAGGGGGAGGGAAAAGCTGACATCCACGTCTGAGGGGTGAGAAATACAAGGCAAGGATAGGCCCACACGGTTTTTCTGAGTGCAAATGTCGCCAAGAATAAATGGACAGTCCAATCATGGGGGACAAAATCCTGTGTGCGTAATTCAAATGAAAGGTACATTATAATTGAGCCAACTTGAATTTAAAGAATAAAGAGTGTGTTTCAGCTGTGTTGACTTGGGAAGTGTCTGCTTCATCTCCTGAAGAGTGTACATCTAGCCTTTCTTCTTTGGTAGGGTTCTGCCTTCAGGGTGCTCACTAATGGCTTTGCTACATACTGAAAAATGAGGCTTAAAGAAAAGAGTTTTGAAAGAGATGGTTTATTTATATCTCTCCTACACAGACTCTGCACCTAAACTATAAAAACTTCTTCAGATAACACTTTATTACACAAAGAATGTCATCATATATATTATCTCATCTAATCCTCATGAACACCTAGTGATAGAGAAGACGTGTAAGGGAATGTAATCTCCTTTTTGTGTTTTAGAGAAATAAAGGCAAATACTCATCACAGGTTATGGGACAGTCAGCAGATACGAATTTTTCATAGGATGTTTCCTTTAATATCACAAGTGCCCTGGGAGGTAGGCAAACTTACCTGCATTTCACATGAGTAAGCTAAGACAGGGAGAGGTTGGCTGGTTTGCCCACATCCATCCTCATCAGAGCAAGGGTGGGGCTATAGACTCTAAGACCAGAACCCGAGTCTTTTCTGAATCATCTTCTGTGCTTTACCATATCGCTCACTTTCTCTATCCCACGAGGACCGCCCAGGTGAAATTGGGTCTAACTGAACTTCAAGGTGATTCTTGAAATGCAACAGAGGTTCCAGAAGGACAATCTAGATAGTATGACTTACAGATTCCAATCCGCCTTTTGTCTAAGATGCTGAGAGTTTTAAGATGCTAGTGCTCTCTTTCCAGCACTAGCTGGCTTAGTGGGGTCAGCCCCCTTCTCCCTTGCTTCCTCCTATCTACTACTAATAAAAACTGAACCACGTGTTGGCCTCAATTTACTATCAGCTAATTGTTACTTCTGACAATCAACGGATCGAAGAAAGAGCATTGAACTTGGAAGCCCGGTGGAAACTGGAGTTAGAATCCTACCACCAAGTCTAGAGCTTGAAAGACACAAGTGTCCCCCCAACTTATAGATGAAAAAAAAAATCAAGGCCAAGAGGGATCACGAGTTGTCAAGGGCTTAGAATAGCTCTTGAGTCAGACTAGGCTGAATGTGGTTTCGATCCACGGAAACGCTCCAAGGCTCAGTTTCTTCATTTGTTAGGTGGGCATGATGACGCGTACTTCACAGGGCTATTGCTCAAAGGTTAAACGAGGCGTGTATGGACAGCACAAGGCCTAAGCAAGCGCCCGGTAGCTGAGGCTGTTGTTGCCAAAGCTGGGAGTGAAACCCAGGTCTCCGAACTCTTACTTTCTGAGCCTCAGGGAGAGTCTTCCGAACCAGGGCGTCCTGGTAAAGAAGCTGGAGTTCCCAACCTCACTGTTCTCGACTGGAGGTAGATGAGAGTAATGCGCGGGGCGAAGGGAAACTAAGGGGTTAAGAGACGATGAGCTTGAGAAAGCTCAGAAAATTAGAAAAGCGGACGCCACCCCCCCACCGGCCAGATTTAGTAAGCCCCTCCTCTCCGCCACCGGGGCGGTCGCCCGCGCGATCCCTCCCTCCCCCTCTCCCTTACAAGATCTAATGAGCTCCCCCGGGAAGCCGAGCTGCGAACCCGGCCCGGAGCAGGGAGGCTGCGCCACAAGCACGGTGCCCGGGTGGCGTCTGGGCCTGAGAAGGCGACGGGAACCGGGCGGGGGCGCACCGGCCGCTCCGCCGCTTTCCAAGCCGCGGGAGAGACGCAGCGATGGCGGTGCAGGCGGCGCTCCTCAGCACGCATCCTTTCGTCCCCTTCGGCTTCGGGGGCTCCCCAGATGGGTTGGGGGGCGCCTTCGGAGCCCTGGACAAGGGCTGCTGTTTCGAGGACGATGAGACCGGGACGCCAGCGGGCGCGCTGCTGGCGGGCACCGAGGGCGGGGACGTGCGAGAGGCCACCCGCGATCTGCTGAGCTTCATCGACTCGGCGTCCAGCAACATCAAGCTTGCGCTGGACAAGCCGGGCAAGTCGAAGCGGAAGGTGAACCACCGCAAGTACCTACAGAAGCAGATCAAGCGCTGCAGCGGTCTTATGGGCGCCACGTCCCCGGGCCCGTCCTCCCCGGGCGCAGCCGACACTCCGGCCAAGCGGGCGCTCGGCGCTCCCAACGCGCAGGCGGTCGCGGTGCCGGTGCACGGCAAGGCCGCCCCCCGGCGGGATGCGGCGCAGGCGGCTGCGGCCGCCAGCCTGCAGAGCCGGAGCCTGGCCGCCCTCTTCGACTCACTGCGCCACATCCCCGTGGCCGCCGATTCCACCGGGGGTTCGGTGGCCGCGCCTACCGTGGGGCTCGGCGGGGCAGGTGCCGGGGGCGCGGTAGGGGACACCGCCGGCCCCGCGGGCGTTTCGGCGCTGCCCGGCTCCAGGAAGGTCCCGCTGCGTGCCCGCAACCTGCCCCCGTCCTTCTTCACCGAGCCCCGGGCGAGCGGAGGCGGGTGCGGCCCGTCGGGGCCCTGCCTGAGTTTGTGCGACCTGGAGAAGGGCTCCGAGAACCTGGAGCTCTTGGAACTGCTGGGGCCGGACTACGGCGCTGGCACCGAGGCGGGTGTCTTGCTCGCCGCGGAGCCGCTGGATGTGTTTCCCACCGGAGCTACGGCCCTGAGGGGACCTCCGGAGATGGAGCCCGGCCTCTTTGAGCCGCCCCCAGCGATGGTGGGAAGCCTACTGTACCCCGAGACCTGGAGCGCCCCGGCCTGTCCCCCGACCAAGAAGCCGTCTCTGGCCACCCCCCGTGGCGGCTCGACCTTGACCGAGCCCTTGCGCCGCCTGTACCCAGCCACGATGGACTCTCCGGGCGGAGAGGACGGGCCGGGCCTTCTGGCCTCTTTCTCCCCCTTCTTGTCAGACTGTGCGCTGCCCCCGCCGCCGACGCCCCACCAGGTGTCGTACGAGTACAGCGCGGGCTACGGCCGCGCGGTTTACTCCAGTCCTTGGAGGCCGGAGGGGGTTTGGGAAGGGGGCCCCGGGGAGGACGGAGCGCACCGGCACTGACGCGGGGCGTCCTCGCTCCCCTTACAGGCCGCTGTGGGGAGCGGCCCGCCGGGTCCCTCCTAAGTGCAAAGAACGATTGGGAAAGCGCTCGCGGAGAAGAGACGGGATTCAAAGTTTCAATTGATTAAAAAAAAAAACCAACAAAACGGAAAAAGAAATGAAGAGGAGTTGGGGGTTGTTTTAATCACTGTGGCAAGTGTTTTTTTTTTTGTTTGTTTGTTTTTTTTAAGCCGTTGGTAGGTTCTCCCTGGAACAGACGAGCCGAGAAACCAAGACGGGTGTGGGTGATGGGGCGGGGATGGCAGCGGGGGCGCGAGGTGGCTTCCGTGGCCACCTGCCTCCTCTCCAGCCTTTCAGCAAAAGGTCAGTGTATGTTAGTGTAACTGACCCTTCCAAACGGTGCCCTGGTCCCTCCCCTTCTCTCCCCTTTGCGTCCATCATGAATTAAAGCCTATATTGAAAAGATTGGAGTGAAGGTTATGTTATTTACTTGGCTGTGTTCTTAGAGGACGGCTTCCCGTGTGGGCCCTTCGCTTTGCCGGGTGAGAGCGTTACCGAGGACTGGACGCCGGCGGCCCCCGGCTGATCTGCCTTTGCTGGTCCCTGGGCGAGCGGCTCTTTTCTGTCCCTCTTCCTCTGAGGTATTTTCCGCCCCCTTTTCCGTCTCCTTCTCCTTCTTTCATCCTTTCCCGCTCTGATGAGTGCCATTGCTTACTTTCTATGCTTCTCTTTCTATGCTTCTCTTTCTCTGCCCTCTAATGTTTTGTTTCTGTGGGTTTTCCTTGCAAATCTCATACAGGAGGCTTACGTCTGTCGCACCTGGGATCCGTTCCTTCCCGCCTCTCACTCTGCAGCCGCTTTGGGTGAGGCAGGCTGTGCAGGTTATAACCCTTTGCATCAAGGTCTCTTCTGGGAGAGGATGAGGATGACAGTATTCCTCCATTCTCCCTTCGCGGCTTGTTGGGTAGCTCAGAGAGAAAAATGCATAAAATGTCTTGAAGCCGCTGCAGCGCTGGATTGGTTCTACGAGTGTATTTTATAGACATGAGTTCGCGGTTTCCCCCATGTGGAAGCCATTAGAATTGTAAGTCTCGTGCCCCTTTTTTCGCTCATCGGTGTGCCTGATGATTGCCCTTTTCTTTATAAGCTGTGCACCCTCCCCCTCCCCCCTCCTTCTGTTCTGTTCTTCCCTCCGTTCATGTCTGCCCCCCTCCCGTGCTTCCTCACTCCCACACTGACCCAAATGGAAGGAACGGTGATGGCCGTGAAGTTCCCTGAAGAGCAGGTTTTATGAGTGGAATCTACAGGGGCCTGGGGAGAGGAGTCTGATCTGCTATTTCAAAGAGATTTGGGGAAAGTCATAGAAATGTTTTACCCAGCCTTGAAGTGGCTGAGTAGCCCCACAGCCTCACCAGGATGGTTGAGGGGCAGAGGAGGAAAAGGGAGCCCTTCAGCTCTGCAGACCTGCAGATGAACACGCAGGGAGGGACCAACACCCAGAAAATGAAAGATGTTACTCGTTGATGACGTTGCAGAGGAGAGCTGCCTCTGTTCAAGGCAGCCGAGGTATAGACTGTAAGGATACATGTGAGAAAGGCAAAACCTCAGTGTTACTACAGAGGATTTTAAAATCCAGGTTGGTATTTGCCCAAATCAAAAGTACTGAAATATTTTCAGAAAAAAAATTTTTAGGGGGGATGGATATCAGGCCATGGCATATGACTTAAGGTGGTATCACTAAATTGCTTTCTTCTGAATAAAACATTTATTAAGAAGGCATCACAGGGAAATATAGCCTGTGCAAATGAGTCTTATTAATGATGAAAAAAACTTCTGCAACTCCAGAAGACTTGTATCTACAGAATTTCTTTCAAAATGGTGAAACTGATGAATTCCATTGTGTTAGCAGAGTATTATTGAACAATCATTTAATTTATCAAAATCGATTGGTGATGAGTACTATCCGAGATAGAATTGCACAGTAGGAAAAAAGTAACCCTGTGACAATCATGAAGGCCACTGCAATGTCTCTGCAATGTTTCGTAACTTCCTCTTCTTTCCTAGTTTAGTAAAACAAAGGATCTCAGTCCCAGCATCTCGCTGGCATGCCTTTCATTAATAGTGGTGATGCCAATACTATGTTTCCAGGCGCCAGCGCTGAGCTAAGCACCAACTCACTGGATCTCCTAACAGTCCCATGAAGTAGGTACTGTTGTTATTCCTATTTGGAATAACAACTCAGTCCGGTTAAATAACTTGGTAAAAGCAAGTAGTGGGTTCAAAATCCGGATCTACAAGTGTCCTAACACCCGCCTGTTACTTGTGAGGTTCTGCTGTATTTTATTAGTTTGTGTGGTTCCTAGTTCCTTGCATGATGCTACCATGGGACTTCACCACTGTTGACATTTCAGGTGGGATCATTCTTTGTTGTGGAAGCTGTTCATGGTAAAATGTTTAATAGCATCCCTGGCCTCTGCTCACTAGATACCAATAGCACTTCTCTAGTTGTGACAATCAAAAACATCTCATTACTACACGTCCCTTGGAAAACTGCTGCCAGTTGAGTGCCACTATGCTGGAAGAATATATAAGCAGCATCGGTGGAATGCCGGGAACATTCACATACATGATCTCATTTAATTCTTACTAAGGCTTGTGCTTCAGTATTGTTATTATTCGTACTGGTATATGAGTGAAAAGTAAGAAGAACAAGGGAAGGGGCTCAGTCAATCTCCTCAGCTACATCTCGGCTAATTTACCGGCCATAGACCAATTATTTAACTGTATGAAGACTTAGTCTTTCCATTGGTAACTATCACAAAGGGTTTTCGTGGGGATTTGGAATGGAGTGTGTATAAATCCCCACCAACGGCAGGAGAGTAGCTCTTAGTCCCAGGCGGCCAAGGCTTGGCTTCATGTCGAGGTTCCGAACCACCCTGTTGTCCAGGACGGCGATAATAGGTGTTCGGCCCCCAGGTGGCCTCCCGGCTGCCTATCTCTGATTTATCTTCTCCCCACGCTGCTCTGCCGTCTGAGCGCGTGTGTGCCTGACCATGCCGCTGGCCGCCGCACAGTAAGTAGCGCCCACTGATAATAGTCCTGCCGAGAGCTCAACCTAGTGTTGCTTCCTCTCATTTGTCATTTTCTACTGCAGCCTCTTAGAAAGTATTTTTATCTCTTGTTTAGCCACATACTTGCCCACAGGCTCTTCTTTATAAGTGTAATGGTAGATGTTTTTCAAGACCAGACATACGTTGTAATAAGCTTTTCATTGTGTCACTTTGGACAGGCGAGGGATCTTAGCCTCATTGGTAATTACACTGTTAGCAGCCCAGCCCAGCTGGGCATCCCTTGGTGCCCGGAGTGTGTTTTGGTGTCTTCTTGTAGCTTCTAGTGGTTGTCCCAAGCCTTTGCTCATCTTCAGCCAAGCCGCCACCATTCCCCTCTCCTCACTCCATGACCCAGCAGTGTGAGGAACACCTGTCCAATCCCTCTCCATTTCCCAGCCCCACTTTCACACACGAGGCTTTCTCTCCAGCAGGCAGGACCTTCTGCTTTCATAGCTTGGCCTCTCGTCCTCCCGCTTCATGGGGACAAGATGCTGCTCCTTCAATTATCCTGTGTCCCCTCTATCTCTCACTACCCCTCACTTTTTCCTCTCATCCTGGAAGTACTCCTTTAGCATGGTTTAAAAATAAGGAAGAGGGGAAATAAAAAATTGAAAAGCTCTCTCAACCTTGTTACCTTTTTCCTAGGCAATATTCATTTTTTTCTTTTCTTTTTTTAAATGTATTTTATTGATTATGCCATTACAATTGTTCTATTTCCCCCTTCATTCCCCTCCACCCTGCACACCCCTCCCCCATCATTTCCCCCCTTTAGTTTATGACCACGTGTCTCAAGTTCTTTAGATTCTATATTTCCCATACTAATCTTGCCCTCCCCCTGTTTATTTTCTACCTACTGCCTATGCTACTTATTTTCTGTACCTTCTCCCCCCTTCTCCTTTTCCCACTCCCCTGTTGCTAACCCTCCATGGGATCTTCATTTCTATGGTTCTGCTCCTGATCTAGCTGTCCTCTTAGTTTGCTTTTGTTTTAGGTGTGGTTGTTAATAACTGTGAGTTTGCTGTCCTTTCAATGTTCATCTTTTTTATCTTCTTTTTCTTAGGTAAGTCCCTTTAACATTTCATATAACAAGGGCTTGGTGATGATGAACTCCTTGAACTTGATCTTATCTGAGAAGCACTTTATCTGTCCTTCCATTCTAAATGAAAGCTTTGCTGGATAGATCAATCTTGGATGTAGGTCTTTGGATTTCATGACTTGGAATACTTCTTTCCAGCCCCTTCTTGCCTGTAAGGTGTCTTGAGAAATCTGCTGACAGTCTGATGGGAAGTTCTTTGTAGGTTACTGTCCCCTTAGCTCTTGCTGCTTCTAGGATTCTCTCCTTCATTTTAATCTTGGCTAATATAATTAGGATGTGCCTTGGTGTGTTCCTTCTTGGGTCCAACTTCTTTGGGATTCTCTGCGCTTCCTGGATTTCCTGGAAGTCTATTTCCTTTGCCAGATTGGGGAAATTCTCCTTTATTATTTGTTCAAATAAGTTTTCCACTGGTGGCTGTTCCTTTCCCCCTTCTGGTACCCCTATAATTCGGATGTTGGAAAGTTTAAAGATGTCCTGGAGGTTTCTAAGCCTCTCCTCATTTTTTTGAATTCTTGTTCCTTCTTCCTTTTCTGTTTGGTCACTTTTTTCCTCCTTCTTGTCCACTCCTTTGATTTGAGTCCCAGCTTCCTTTCCATCACTATTGATTTCCTGTGCATTTACATTCATTTCAATTAGTTTAGCCTTCATATGTTCCTCTAATTTGTGACTAAAATCAACCAGTTCTGTGAGCATCCTGATCACCAGTGTTTTGAACTGTGCATCTGAAAGTTTGGCTATTTCTTGGTCGGTTAGATTAATGGGCTCTGGGGCTCTGAGTTGTTCTTGAACCATGTTTTGATCTGTTCGTGTCTGTTATGTATGAGGAGCGGAGCCTTAGTTGTTCACCAGGGCGGGGCCACCCAGGTCGCTGTTTTGTGAGGCTGTAGGTGGGGGCGGGGTCAGAGAGGGAGCAATGGCAGTTCCCTCTGCTGCTTCCTGCCACTGGGGCCTGTGAGGTCCATCTCACTATTCGTTCCTTCACCAGTTTATCTGCATGAGAATGTGTGACTGCAATCAGCCCTCAGTGGGTCCACCTCCTTGTGCCCTCAGTGGGTCCGCCCGCTTCTCCACACCTGGGATCCGCCCATGGCTGCTGGCGCACCTGGGTCGCATGCTTGGGTCAGTCCGGTGGATCTTTCCTACCGGATCCTGCTCTGCTGCTGGCTCTGCCCCTCTTACCAGTTTGGCTGAAGGGTTCTTTGTTGTCAGACTTCCATGTAGTTCAATTTTCTGTGGTTTGGCTGCGTTTTTGTTGCT